CAGCTTTCATTAATATTTAGTGGGACTGTGCTAATTTACATGAACTGGCAATGTGTCCTCTGTAGTCCGTCCCTCTGGTTCCTTCAGCACTTAATGCTCCTGAATTCTCTCACACTGAAGGAATATGAAGTGGATTCATAGCTGCAAAGCCTAGAGAAGGTAATAAGATCATTAGCTTCATTATTTCATTCATTGCATCTGACTTGCTTTTACTGGAAGCCCCAAGCTGCTGTTCCTTTTCAGTACTGTAAAATGCTTTGGTTTATCTTTTAGCAGACTTTGACATGTGAGGGTCAATATTTCTACAAGTTGATCGATTTGAAGTTGTTTACTCAGACTGTGGATCTATTCTGCTGCTTGCTTGACTTAATTTAGGCTTCTTATTTGTATGGGGTTTCTTACCTGGCATATTCTTCAAATTACGCTCCATGGTAGTTCTTAAAACAGCCTCATCAGAGAGTTCAGTTCTGTGACATTCTCTTGAAAACTGTTGCAGGCTTTGGAAAATCTTTGTATTGACTCTGTATATGTACCATACATCATCTGCCATTTGCAGGACACCTTGAATTTCTACTCAGTTCTCATAAGAATAGAAGCAATTTCATAATTTTAAAAAAAAAAAAGTTTGAGTCTTATTTTTGTAATGTACCTGTATGGCCTTGTTGACTGTCCCAGAGATATGATGCGTGTATGTGTCTAGATGTGTCCTGACAGCAGGGAGTGGAGGAGGATTGTTGGTGTTGCTGGAGTCATTTGGAGGTTTTATCTGTGTAGTTGAGCTTGTTGCCAAGGGAGCCTTTTCCTTGTGCATGTGCCTTGAAGTTGGTGAATCCCAAAAGCGTGGATGTGCTGCCCCTGGGAAGGCTGCAGCACACGTCCTCTAGATCTTGTGCCTCTCCAGAATGCTGAATTTATTATGTATTTCATGCACAGCATGTAAGTGCACATTTCCATATGGTAAATTTATGCTCCCCACTGCATCTGAAGGTAAAAACATCTGGAAGCAGATGGGTACCACTGGAGCAGCTCATGCTCATCTATTGCAGCCTTCTTTCCTAGATGTTTTGTGGAAGTAGGCAGGGAGACTCGTAAGGATGAATGTTGGGGGGTGGAACCTGCTTGTAGCTACCTCCTTTCTGAAAGGACCACCTGGTCTTTCCCTCCAGTCACCACATGTGCCTTCAAGATTTAATGATCTGTGCTTGGGACAGATGACAGGGAGGGGCAAGAACAGGAGATCTCTGGGCAAGTTGATCAAATGTGGGTAATTTCCCTGAGTTTGCTCTTGGATTATGTTAAAAAAAGGGTTTGCTGTAACCTGGGGCCCGTTGGTTAGAAATACTTGTTTTTAATGGGAGTCCTTCTCTCTATGCATATTTATGCAAAATAATTCAATTTCTGGCAAGGCTTGCATGTTGCACCATTTGCTACGCTGCTGCCCCTGCTTTGATTCCTTTTTTGCTTGTATTCAATCTTTTTTTCTGGTATTTGGATTACTGCTGTTTTGTCTTGTTTCAGTGTATACTTGTCTCTCTTTTGGGTCTGAGGTGTGTAATTTTTATTTATTCATCTAGTGTTTTCTAGTTCTTATAGCTCTTTTCTGTTACATCAAAAGTCAAACATTTGATTAAGTTCCAACTGTTGCAGCATATGTAGACTGGCTTCATTATCTCCTGTTGCCTTAAACTGTAATCTCTAACAAAATTAGGCAGCCAGCATGCCAAGTGTGTAAGAAGGGCTGAATGTGTGGGTCTTTGGGTGTTATTTTGGGGCACTGATTTTTAGGGCTTAGTGAATGCAGTTTCTGTGGCTCTGTGCTGATGCTGGCAGGTCAGGTGCCTGTATGTGACTTGTCACCCACAGCCCCTCAGTCAGTGGGGCTCTCCTGTAGTAAACATAAGCAAAGTGCAGCAGGAGCCCTCTCTGCTCTCCACAGATGCCTGTTCAGAGCAAGGAGTTACACTGACAGCTCCCTGAACACTGACTGTGCATGTGTGTCACACACAGTGGTGAGTGCCAAGGCACTGAGGAGCTTGTGCATGCCGGCTTAGATCAAATGGTCACACAAATTCAAATTTTACTAACAGCTTTGTCAGTTCTCTGAGAGGTCAAGACAGTCTTTGTTTGATATCCCTCTGGAGAACCTTCACTCTGATTTTTCTGCTTTTCTTATCTACTGCTGCCACTAAAGACTCTGTATTGCCTCCAGTCTGGTCTCCAAGTCTGGAGATGAGCCACTTCTTACTTTTCTGTAAATTGCATGATGGTTCTGGGTTGAAAGTGCAAGTGCCAAACTGGTAGGACAGAATGGGCCCCCAGTGCCCAAGGACACAGCGTGTCCCCCATAATTCTTTTTGTATAAGAGACATAAAATAGAAGTGAGAGGAGCTGCATTGATGCTGCAGTTTGAGATAGTGCTGCAAAAATAAATAAATAATTGTATAAAAGAAGCAGAAGCAAAATTTAAAGGTATTCCTTTACATTTCTTCCCTTGTGTCCCCCTTTTTTAAATCCAGATGGGTTCACAGGCAGTATTTATAGCACAGTCCATGAGAAGCTGCAGTGGTATGGCTGAAGGGGCAGTGTGTTGTAGCAAAAAACAAGAGTAAGACTGAACGTGGGAGGGAATTTCTTGGGCCAGCCTTACTTCCATGGGGAGTGTTTTCTGTGAAACTAAGCTGTGGATAATGAACAGATGCTGGGAAACTAGTTATTAGCACTCAGGAAAAGCAGCTGAGGTTTCCCAGGCTCAAAGAATATAGTAGACTTCAGAAACTGTCAAGAGATGTGTGACAGGAGTGGGCAAGAATAAAGATACAGAATTATTTCTGGGCAAGCCACGTGGCACAGAGTAGGATTATTCTGCCTGGAAAGAGGTGACCAGATGGAAGCATGGAAGATGCAAACAGGGGCTTGGGGTTTGTTTTTTTCTTCTTTCATAAGAATTGGGTCACACCAAATGGATCTAACAATTGGCAAGTTTAAAACACAATTATTCTTTTATTTTGCAGTGAATAATTAACACTTGCACAGTGCTGCAAGATGATGTAGACATAAAGCTGGTTTAGACAGACACATCCCTGGGAGAAGAAATTTTCTTGTTTTAAGGGTCTGGGACAGTAACTCAGAAATATCAGTGTATTCTTGCACTTACGCTTCTTAAGCTTTTCCCTACGTGTAGGGAAAACTGTAGGCCAGTGAACCTGTCATCTGACCAAGAACAGCTACTGTTTTCTTTAGTGTTAAAAATAACTGGCAATTGCATATTGTTCAGATATCTACAGTAACAGAGCTGTTCAAACAAATCTTGTAAATTGGTAGTTCACCAACAGCCTGGTCATTAAGCTCTGTCAATATTTGGTGTAGTAAATACTTTTTACATTTGGCTACATTTGGTTTATGTGCCCTGGAGAATTTTGCTGATTGACTGAAATGATTGATACTTCCAGGAACAGGTCTGAATTCATGATGAAATAACAGTGAGATAACATTCTAAATAAGTGATTTTGTGCTGCTGCTTCATGCTTCCTCAACTTGTGTGAAGCTTATTTAGAGGCCAAGATTTGCTAATTTCTTCTAAGTAGCAGATGGACCCTTTTTTAGATTGCTTCTCCTACAGGGTGTGTGTGTGTGCGCGCACGCGTGTGTGTGTGTGTGTATTTTGGGAGACAAAACCTGTGAAAACTGAGTTTCCTGGCAAATTGGATGTTTAGAGATTTACGCTGGTTGTTGGATAACATGATAGTATCACTAGTCTGCTCCTGGCTCAAGGGTGAGTGAAGTGATGTGTGTTAAACATGGAGAGCTTTGGCTCAGTACAGAGTTCTGTGTGTCTGGTACATACACCACTGGTTTGCATCCTTTTCCTAATTCACCTGCCAAGGGCCCACTGGTAGTCTTGGAATTTGCACTTGGAAAAGTGGAAACTGCAGAGGGATTTTTCAAGATTACTCCTTACAGCTACTAATCAAGAAAAAGGCTGATTTTTCCAAGAGATCAAATTATTTTGATTATTTTGTTTTTTTTTAATTAAATCCTTTTCAGCACAGTAGAGGCCACTTGTGTGGGCATGGTGGGATGTTTGTATGTGTGTGTGGTTTTTTTAAATTTAATTTTATAGAAACTCATTGTCAACCTGAACTGTCCAGAATAAACTAATCTATTTGCAAGTGTGCTCTGATAATATAATCAAGCTTTTCCTAATGAATGCTGTTGCATGTGCGGAACAGAATAGTTTGTCTTTTCCCTCATAAAATAAGTCAAGTGCAATGTTTGATTACATTAAATCAAACATTAAATATACACAATTCCTTACCTACAGTGTTTATGTAGCTGAGGAGCTTGGAATATCAGAGATTAGATATATATATATAAAAATAAAAATATCTCCTGGCCAACTGTAGTTCTGAGGGCAGTTAAAAACTGAGTTTCCTATCCTGTGATCCAAGTAGCTTTACAAACACACAAAGTCAAATTTCTCTGTATTATTTTATTTACTGTGTATTCCTCATTATATTTTTATTCTCCTGAACTATTTACAGTGTTCCTGGGTGACTGATGTACTACTTTGGCCTTTATAAAGACTGAGATATTCACTATGCAATAGAATATCAGTATTTATCCCGAAGTATTTCTACTCATCCATTTTCTGGGAATACATGTTGGTCATTCTGGAGTAACAGTGTTTGTTTTTTTCAACACAATTTTAAAACTGAAAAAATACTCTAAGTACTTTGGACAATTTAAAGTTAATTTCTATCTGAACTTGTGTTTATACAATATAATACCACAAAATGGTGCATATAGTTCTGCTCTCTCTAACTATATTTGTTCTGTCTCCACCTTGAGAGAAGGTGCATAGATTTCTGATTTTGTACACATGTATAATTATACAAAATAAATGCTAAATTATAAAATTATGTTCTGAAAAGAATAAGTCATTTGCCTTTAATAAAACACTTTTTAAGAGTCTCTGATAAGTATTCTTTTTTTCTTGACAGTCTGTGGTGGACGACTGGATTGAATCATATAAACAAGACAGGGACATAGCACTTCTGGATTTAATCAACTTCTTTATCCAGTGTTCAGGATGTCGAGGTACAGAACATGGGAAACAAGTTGTATAGAATAAATCTGACCTACAAACATGTGTTAATGCAAATGTTGGTAAAGATGGGGGAGACTCTTGGATTGATACTCCTTGTGTGCATGGTTTGTATAGAAATATTGTCTGCATTCCAGAATAACATGATTTAAAGCTTGTTTGTGAAGGGCTACCCTTTCTCTTTCTCACTTTCCTGTCATCATGCTAAAGTATACAAATCCTCACAGAGACGCTCTACTCATCAGCAACAGGAGACAAAAGATCTGGTACTCCAGGTAGGCATATCTTTATTTGCCTTTCTGTTTCTTCCCAATTTTTTAACTGCAAAAATCAGTTGGTAACTATACCTTAACTTGATATTTTTTCTTTCTTTTTAGGAAAACAATTTTTTTTTTTTTTAACTGAAGAGGAAGGAGTCCGCCTTCAGTTCACTTTGCTTAGCAAGAAAGGTTTTCTGTGGATGAGGCAGCAGAGTTATTTATTCCTCTGTAATACTTTATCATGTCAGCAGCGAGTGCCCTGCCTTTTATACCCTGCTTAAGCAGTCTCCATTACCAGGCATGCAGCAGTCAGCCATTCTAGCATTCTGTTGCCACACTGTGCCTTCTAATGAATTTTTCATGTGTTGTCTTTTTTCAGTTAACTCAGCCTTGAAAAGAGACAGAACTCCACTCTGTCTGTAGTGCCCAGAACCAAACTATCTACTGTTTTCTGATGCTTCTTAGAATTTACTTGGAATAGAGTTGAAAACAATCCACAATTCAGAAATTCTTTTTCTTCATTTTGTATCTGATGTGAGAATACACCTTTAGGCATTAAATGGTCTGGGCAGAAGTCCCTTTTCTTCCTTAAGTGTAAGGTGAAGTCTTGAGTAGTTAAGAGTATCAGAGAAAAGAAATAGGAGCCATTAGGAGCTTCAGCAACCGTTTTTCATAGCTGAAGGAAATAAACATATTTCGTGGATGACAGAAAAGACTGAATCTCTGGGAGCATTCTGTGAAAGGGCTGAAGGTTAGGGCTTAGGTTACCGGCCTGTGTCAATGTCTGCACTGTTCACACAGAACCCCTGAAACATTTTTCAGTTGTGTTTGGCAGCTTATGTGAAAGTAGTTGTATTCTGTGTGCTTTTTCTTTCTTTTTTTTTTTTTTTTTTTTTTTTTTTTTTTTTTTAAACTCCTGAAAGTCTATGTGAAAAAAAAGCAACTCTACAAGCTTACTTGTAAGAATTTGGGCAGCATTAAACCAAAGGCATCCTTGGCCATATGTTTATATTCTTGTTGATGCAAACTTTTGGTGAAGGCATGTCATAAATATCTTCATTCCCCTGCTGCTCTCTAATTTATTCTCCCTTTCATTCTCTTCATTAGAGAAAGCAGCACTGTGATAAGATTCCTATTTTTTATACCCCTTGTTGGTGAGTGATGCAGGCTGAATGCCCACTGTCAGCCATATGCTGCTGGAGCAAGTGCTTCCCAGAAAAGCTTTCTGTTACTGGCTGGGAGGCAGCAGCACTGCGAGTGTCTGATATCATTGACTTACTTGGCTTTTCTTTGAGATGTGACTTTCCATTTTCAGTGCTCTGCTCTGTATCCCAGGGCTATCTCTGCTTAGCTTCTTCCAGTGCCTTCTGGTCCCAAACTGCAACAGTAGGAAAAAGGAAGCAGAAATTACTTAGTCCCCAAGTCTATAGTGTGTTTGGGAGATTTATTTCTGTTTTGGAACTTCTTTGCAGTGGCTACAGTAACAGCTGTAGAACAGGGTTAAAAGCTGGGCAAACAGTGCAGTTCTTTCCAGTAATATGCTTGTTTTCTAGGATAAATAAGAATTTTATCAGAAGAGAGTGGATTTTATTGGTAGTCCACTTAGGGTAAAGTGCATACCAAGCTTTCCTTAATGGAAGTGAGAAATAGGGGGTTGTTTTGTATCTTGTGAGAAAGACTTAAATTCTTTTTCATGGGTAGATGATATATTATGACATCTTTATTTCCCTTTAGAGACTTCGTTGACATTCTTGCTTAATTATATTTCTGATAAATAACAGCCATTGTGAATCTCAATGACTGCTTTATCTTCCTTGATTTTCTTCTTTTCAGTTTGCTCCACTAACATTGTCTTGAATTCTCCAGCCTCCTTTCCCAAAGCTGGATCTAAATGCTGGCTGATAATATGTCTAAGTTTGTGATCATTAACTGAAGGGAGGAGGACAACTAACTTGGGATGAAGTTTCTCAAGGAATTGTGATGCTAAGTTTATAAATCTACCATTTCAATAGTGCTTAGAATCACTTGACATCTAAATATATGTAAAGTACATTTAGCTTGATGTGTCCTTCAGAAGTTTTGAGCAGGTGGAAGAGTGTGTTCCCACTTAATAGCTTTAATTAGAAATGGAGACACCAAACTGTTTTATTTAGAAGCACTTCTGACCCTGAAAAGATATCTTTCTGTTTAGAGAAAGATTGATTTTTATATATTTATCTCATTCTCTTGGGCAGCACAGATGAATGAACCTCTCGGCATCTTCCAGCTTTGCTTGTAGCTGTTGCTGAAATGAGAAGTGATCTATTGTAAATATGAGTAAGCAGGCATATTACGTAGATCATTAATACTAACAGTGTTAAATTAGTGGCTTTTGCAGGTGAATGTAAAAGATTTGTGCAATTTAAAATTCAATAAATATGCATCAAATATTCAAGCATGTCTGTCCTTTGTCAACTCTTCTGAGTATCTATTTAATGTATATCAATTAAAGACAAAATAGGAGATTAGGTTTTAGTGTGACTCCAGTAATCCTTCTGTGTTTTTAGAGTGCTATTTGGTGTAAATGAGAAGTTTCTTGTTTCTTGTCAAAACATCTCAGTTCAATAAGCAGATTTGCATGGGAGTTGGTCACTTGTCATGTCATCTTTCCTCTAGTTTGCCTACTCAATCTGTACATATGTTGCCTTTGCTAATTTTGATTACAAGGAAGTGAAATTGTTATGTAAAGAATTTTTCTTTATCTTGCGTGTTTTTTTCTTCTGAAAATACAAAAAATCCCTGCCTTTCACAGCTTGTCTGTGTAGTCTTTTCCATTGTGTTCTGCTGAATTTCTGTGGCACAAAAATGGTTAACAAGGACTGATACATTCACCCATTCTTGTTTTGTTTCTGATCCTTTTAAAATGTGTTGCTGCTTCTAGAGGGAAGATCTTGTATCAGATAGTACCTTAAAAAGGTGAAAAGGTAAGTGTTAAAATACTACTTCTTTGTGGAAAAACAGTAAAATTGCTGATGGAAGTCCTTGAAAATAAAACAGGTATGTCTGTTGGTAGTAGGTGTTTATTTTCCATAGGACTTACAATCTATAAAGCAGGTGGTGTTGCATTTACTTTCTTATTTCAAAGTCAGGAGCAAAATTTCAGAGTTTTCATTATTAGGTAACAAGGAACTTTTTGATATAAGCTTGTTGTAATGGTAAAGCCCTTTCTTCAATTAAGTGCCACTGGACTGGGACAGTATCCACACTACTGAAATTTCCATCTCCACTGTTGTGCTTTGGTCTGCAGCATTGTGGATTTAGACACCCTCCTCCCTTGCAGAAGTGTTGTAGATCAGTGTTCAGAGTTTTCTGGGAGTTTTTGTGAGCTCTTGTCCATTGCTTTCTTCTTTGTACAAACATATTTTTGCTTTTCCCCCTTTTTTCTCTTCTTCCTTTGAATGTTTATGTAAAGCACAGCATTGAGTGCCGAGCTCTCTGAGCTGCTTGCAAGCAAACTGAAATGTCTCATCAGCAATATGTACGTGAGGTCCCAGAAGGATTATAACTGTGTCAGTGTGATGCTGCATCAGGGCTAATTAGCTCTGCCTCTCAGACTGAGTAATTAGCTCAGGTATCCTGCTCTGCTGCTATGACAACCAGGCAGTTTCCATTTTTGGAGCTCCCTGGATTTAGAGCTGACTTGGGTATCTGCATGGCTGTCAGCTCGTGCCTTCTGTTATTGATAGAAAACAAACAGAAAGCTCCTCGAGCACTCTGACCTTTCTACATTTTAAAGGCAGAGAGCCATGCTTGTGGAATAAATATTTTTTTTTCCTAACCAGAAGCAATTAGTGGCTGAAACAGCCTCTTGAGCTGTGTAGGAAAACCAGACACTGAGTTCGTGGGAGAAAAGCAGCTTTCTTTTGCAGGGGAAAAGGGTCTCCCATAATTGAAGAGGAAGCTACTTGACTGCTTTCAAGTGTACAGTGAATTTATTCCCATTCCTTCTCTCCCATCCATCTGCTTCCCTCTCATTTATTTTCTGCTGGGTAAGACAGAAACATACATTTTAAAGCAGGTTTTCAGAAGTGGTCTTTGATGAGCAAATATTCCAGCTGTCACCTGCTGGCCTGGATTGCTGGTGCTGTTTAAGGCTGGGTTTTTCTTGGTTGTGAGTAAACAGAGATTTGTCTATGTCTCTTTTCCCAGGGGCTTAAAGCCAGACCACTTTGTAGAACTTTTCCTGTGAATCAAACACTTGGGGTTCCACATTCTCTTCCCACCTTCCTTGAGTGTCTGGTTGTTCCTCATCTATTGTAGATCTTCTGTCAAATTCTGATTGAATGGTGCAAACTGAGCCAATAAGTGCAGGATTTCTGAGTTACCTTGATAATTATGGTTTTTATTAATGTTCTAATTAATGAGCTTAATTAAGGGCAAACTAATAGATATCTGCTTTGCCAAAGGAAACTGAAGGCTAAAACCAGGAAAAAGTAGCATAGAGTGGCCATTATATGGTCTGTCAAAAGCAGTGAGCAAGTGCTTGCTTTGCTGTTGGAAAGAATTCCAGAAAGCGAGTTAGCCAGGAAATAGTGTTATTTACTTTTATTAATAATATTTTAATAGGGGATGCAACATGGTAACTAGAGAAATGGTAAAAAAAAATTAGTTGTCCATGGTTCTGTTTTGTGATTGATGGAATCGTTGTTCTGTACAGGATGTTATGGACCACAAAGAAAACTTTGTTAAATCTA